AAAATTAATATTCGGCGTAGTTTTTATGGGTATAACTGAATGCAGATATGTGCACATGTATTCTGAAACTGTTCAAGCATCGCCAAGCTTAACTCCTGAATTCATAGATTCAATCAAATGAGTGCTGAGGTATTCAACATTTATGATATACGTTCCCTTTTTTGTACTCGCAGATACCGAAGCGCCTAATGTCACCTGTCCTAGCAGCATCCCTTCCATGAGTACAGACATGGGACTGTCAACTGCTGTGGTCATTTGGTCGCCACTGCCATCCGCTACTGATAACGTGGACGTGTTCGATTCCAGCAACATCACCTGTAAAGACGATGCAGGCAATGTTGTGGAATCCAATGGAACATATGCACTTGGTCCAACAACAGTGACATGCAATGCTACCGATATGGCAGGAAATCAGGGCTTTTGTAACTTTTCGATCACAGTAATAGGTTGGTGTTTCCTAATTACGCAGTTATCTCATATTTTCCCCGTTGTTTGATAAATCTGCTTAAATATTCTATAAACCCCTGTGAGAAAAGTACATTTCCAAGTGTGTGAAAACATCATATCCCTCATTCCATTTGTTGTGGCATATTTTTTGCCCGAATTCCTTAAAATATTTGCTCCCCTGAAGGTCTGAAATTTAATATAAAAGGTGAGTGTCTTGATCTATGCAGAAAGGAAAATATAAAGAGTAACAGACTGCAGATGGACTGCAGATTTTCTCGACGAGGGTTACAAACTTCACTGTGACAAAGATTTTGCTGATTTTTTTATCAAATTAATACAGGTGAAACACCTTGATCAGTTGACTCCATGGCATGTACCAATTAGTCGCACATAAAGACAGCTGTAACAGATAACTTCAACAATTGGTACGGTAAATGGTTGACAAAAGGTGAAAAGGCTGTTCTTGGGATTAACATCATCCCTAACACACATCCAAGCCATTATGGCAGGTCTACTGAAAATTGTTATATTGCTGTCATATATAACGTTGTGCTCATAACTTCAGTGCCCACAACATCAAGCTTATTGTGCCACGCCTTGCTACTTAATTGAACTGTGCTATTTTCCCACTTCATAGATGCCCTTGCGGCTTGATCTAGTACATGTATATGCTATTTTCCTACTTCATAGATGCTGAGGCTCCTGTTATTGACTATTGCCCACAAAGTGTGGTGAATGAGACATCTGAGGCAACATTCAGCTCGATATGGACTCCACCAAATGCAACTGACAATAGTGATCCTGCCAAAAATTTAACAATATTATCATCACATAACCCGGGTGATAACTTCACTGCGGGTACAATTACTGAAGTCGAATATATATTCATTGATACCTCAAACAATTCTGCCGTGTGCATCTTCAATGTGACACTCAGTGGTGAGTAAAGGTTTCCTTTTTTACAATTCAATAGTTGATTTTAAGAAAATATGTTGTGGCTATATTTTTAAGCTTTAGATATACATGTACCTTTTTACCAGCGACAATTGGATGTGTGTAAAGCTACTACCCCCCACAAAGCTTTTTCTTTCCATTCAAACAGACATTAAATTTTTCCTCTCTAGTTCTTCAGTTTTCAGTGTTATTATGACAACACATTTGAATTGAAAGTCAGGGCTTTCAGTTTGTCTCCTTGTCTTTTGGGGTTGGCAGACATCGGTGATCCTGTGTTTCTCACTTGCCCGGACAGACTGGTGTTTACACTTGCACAAGGACAAGATAGAATTCTTGTCAACTTTGCCATACCAATTGTTGAGGATAATTCTGGTGAGGTAATTGTCCCTGTCTCTGATCCACAACTGATGCTTCCTACCGACTTTTCTTATGGTGAGACGTCTATCCGCTACAATGCAACGGATTCTTCAGGAAATCGTGCAGTGCCCTGCGTCTTCACTGTGGCTGTACAGGGTATGAAGTCAATACAAAGAATTTTGATGTTGTACATTGTGCTGCAAATAACGCATGCATCAATTATTTCACTCTTTTATGTTATAGCTAAAGATTCATACATTCTTTCATTCTTTATACGAATACGTATCTTTCAATGCCGAAATGTTTCCGTAGAATGCCTTTAGTTTTACCAAAGACCCAAAATCTTAGCTTCCGTAAGTGCTGCAAAATTTTAATGGACTGAAAACTTGATACTTAACAATCACTGTTAAACCCTTCAGTACTTAGATTGCTGTGTTTTGAGACAAAATTTAACCCAACCATCTAATCAGAATACAGTGTCTAGTCTAATTGAACGTTTGGTACAGCTCATTTTGGGATATTTCTTGTGGAATCACTTCCAAGAGAGAGGACACGTCTAAAAGGTTCCTTATTTTGATGCAATTGTATTTAGTATGCGACGGATGTTAAAATGTATGAAAAAATTGACAAACATCTCAAACCTCAACAATTCATGAACATGAATTCAACAATTCATGTTCATTGCAAATATCGCTGTATAAAATTGAACTATCTTCACAGTTTCTGTATGTATTGGACAATAAGGGTCCATGTATTCTGGTTTTATAGAGATACCATGGTGTATTTTGTACTGGGCACATTGGCAGTTTGGGGGAGCATAGCAGAGACGATGCCCTCTGCAATAAAACAGCATTATTAGAAAGATAGTGAAAATAAGTAGTTTAGTTTTATTAATCCATTCCCTAGAATCTAAATTCTGCCCTTTTAAAATAGTCAAAAAAGGTAAATAAAAAAGAAAGTTCAAATTTCTCCCCCCCACAAAAAAAACTCTACCCTCCCCCAGAAGAAATAATTGTGCCCTCTCCCAGAAAAAAAAATACATCGGATCGACTGCGTATCTTTGTGTTTTGGTATGTTTGTCTTCCAGATGAAGAAGATCCCAAATTCACTGTCTGCCCTCAGTCCCCTGTAAGCCCCATCACCACGGACCCTAACAGCAACACGGCCAACTATAGTTGGGTGGCCCCTATGGCGACAGATAATGTGGCAGTCATGTCAGTGGACTCCTCCCACACAAGTCCAGCTGCACTTCCAATCAGGAATAATACCATCACTTACACAGCTACCGACCCTGCTGGAAATACTGGCGTTTGTGAATTCTACGTTACTATCATTGGTCAGTGCAAAAGGCTAACACTAAGCTCAATTTAGCTTGGTTATGGCATCAAGACCTCAATATTGGTACATTTATGTAGATAAAATTGGGGGTGATAATAAACGCATGTAATATTTGCCAGCTCTCCTCACAATTCGAATGTGTTCCTTTGAATGTCAAAAGGGTAATAATAAATCACAAAATACAAATAAATCACAAGTTTTCATTTTATAGTTGCAGTGTTAACTAATTCAAGCACGGTACACCCCGGTTTACTGAGAGCAGTTTGCAGATCATTCCGAAAGCTTAATTTGAGTCAGATAAAGCTAAGCCCTTGGCCGTCCGCTGGCTTATTGGACAGTAGTTATGGCTTGCAATGTGCCTGATTTGTGTCTTTTCGGTGGAAAATTCCATAAAAACATTTTAAAAAAATAAAAGCTCTGCATTGTTTATTTTAACAGACGTGGAACCCCCCGCTGTGTCCCGTTGTCCAGCTGATATCATCAATTCAACTGACCGTGGTTCGAGTAACGCCACAGTGTACTGGCAAGAGCCTATATTCTCAGACAATGATGGATTGTTTACCAACACAAGTACACATAGCCCAGGGGACCCTTTTGGAGTAGGGAACACCACCGTCACATACAATGTCACCGATGTATCTGGTAACTTGGCAAACTGCTCATTCCTGGTAACTATTAAAGGTATGGCTAACATTCCAACATATTCAGTTCAAACGCACTTCATTACATCTATATCGGGTTAAACCGTCATTTGAATGCAATCAGACTGTTAACCAATGTTCCAAGCTACACAAACAGTACTGCAAAGGTTATATATTACAAGCCTTACTTGATGGTGGTACCTTTTTACTGAACAGAATAATATCCCATTCGTTGCCTGTAAATTTCTGTCCAAACTCTCCCCTGGGTCAAATGCTGCGTGTGCCACTGAGTTGATTATCCTGTGAAAATTATTGATGGACCATTCTATAAATTCAGAGTCCAAACATTTGACATTTTTGTGTCCCTGTTACCTGACCTGTGTAATTTGACATAGAGATGTCACTGGAATTTATTTCAAACTAATTCTATTTTTGGCAGGTAATTGCTTTAATTTATTGCTCTTGGAAATCGGAGAACTGAACTTGCAAAATCCTGTGTCAGATGTGACGGGGACACGAAAAAAATTGGACCCCTAATTTATTTTCACCCTGATACTGGAAATTGTATCCAGGCAGTGGGATGGTTGCCTCCCCCACAACGTGCCTTGTGGGAAAAGAACCGGCACACGCGAATCTGCAGCCATGCACATACTTGTGGCTAGCACCTGTCGTAGGAGTTGGGCTGTGTCATCACGTGTCCTCACCAGTGTGTGTTTTAGTCCTTAAACTAGCATTCCAATCCCCAATATTTGTCAAATCTATGCAAACAATCTTTGTTGTCGTGGTATCTAATACCAGACCCAATGTGAACAAACGCACTGTCGGAGATAATTCGCACATGTCCATTCTGGATGGAGCTGATAAAAGTCTTCAATAATTTCGGGACTTCTTGTCATATGTAGTGTCAAATTAAGTAATTTGGAAGATCAATTTCATCTGTTCTAGCTTTTTTTCTTTTTCCACAGATAATGAGGTGCCTACATTCGTAAATTGCACCGAAGTGATACTGACTGGCACAGATCCAGGCAAAGCCACCAAAAATGTCACATGGGCCACACTGGATTACAGGGACAATGTTGGCATTGATAACATAGTCAGCAGCCACAAATCGGGTGACACCTTTGGCCTGGGGAACGTCACTGTGACCATCTCAGTCAGTGATGAAGCACAGAACACCGCCAACTGCTCGTTTGTTGTCACTGTCATTGGTGAGTTGACTTGAAGCTAAATGTTAAATTCCATGTCCAAAGTTACTTTGAGAAGACCATTGATCGATGTCATTGAATATAACAAGTTAACCTTGATGCTCTTAATGAGAGAGCCCTCATTCTTTGATCTTGTTTTAGCTTTACAAAAATCTTGAAACTCGGACTCACAGCTGCCAATTTTACAAACCTTGCCCCCATCTGTGACCTCAACTCTGCAATTAGCATCAGTTTCATTTCAAAGCTTTGAGTACATATACTTACCAACACAAAGTAAGAAGTGTCGGAAGAGCAAAATATGCAAATCATTTTTTATCCATTCATTTTTGTTAATGGGGAGGACAGCACCCGACATCTCAAGTGTAAGACTTGGGGAGGAGATATAAAGAAACATGGGAAGTATGTACATGTACAGTCAAACCTCGTTAATGAGAGGTCTTTTGGACTTGGCAAATTACCTTGTTTTAACAGGAACCCTGTCTTATGAGGAAAGAAATAAGTGAAAAAACAAAGGATTAGGACCCCAACAATTCCTAGTTATATGCAGAATCTTGTATTAACAGTGCTCTCATTAATTAACAAAGTTCGTCTGCACACAGTTGCTTTTTTTCTGGTTGGGTTAGGATATTCCCTGTGTTCTTAGAAACTTACGTGTAAATTTACATTTTTTTCATTCTGTTTATTGTGTCTGTGCATTGGTCTCTGCAGATGATGAACCTCCAAGTTTTAAAGCCTGTCCTGCTGATATCATCAACAGTACCGACGCTGGACTGAATTCATCTGTTGTCTACTGGCAAGAGCCAACGATCACAGACAATGTTGGGGTGGTTGCTAACTATAGATCCCACAGCCCAGGCGATGTCTTTCCTGTGGGGAACACCACAGTAATCTACAATGCCAGTGACAGTGCTGGTAACACGAACAACTGCTTATTTAGTGTCACTGTGGAAGGTGAGCTCTGCATATGTCCCATTGGTGCTTCGATAGTTGTCTAAAAGCAGGGATAAAACTGGAGTCAGGTCCTATGTAAGCTCATATTAGACCAAGAGCCGATTGTAAATGTTTTGTTTCTCTTTTACACATGATTTGTTTACTTGAGCCAGTATCGAGATTAAGGTTCATAACATCAGTGCCAAACCCTTTTCAACTTGAAATTGACGTATTTGCAACCACCAAGTGGTGTTGTATTCTGATTTGTGTCAGTCAAAATGATTTTTTCCAGAAATTTGGTTTTTCCAGTTTGTTGTTTATATATGATTAAATTCCACTATTCGAAAAAAGCTACATTCTGTTGCCACATTGTTATAGTGAAATGATTCATTTGTCAATTTAAAGTCCAGTTAGGTTAATTTTATCAAAGGTGCAAAGTGATTACTAAGTTTCTAGGTCAAAGCCATACATACCGGTGTTGTATTTGAGTTCATCAGAAGTCCATGCAAGTCCCTCTTCCATCACAAGTCCATGTAAGCCATTCACTTTACAGCCAATTCACAAGCTATTCACATGAGCTGTGACAAAAGTATTCTTTTGGCCTGTTATACTTATGACTGGCATGGTGAAGGGACTTGTGACTGGACTCATGATGGACTACTTTTAAAGATTGTATGCTGCATATGTACGCTCATACTCTATTCAAATCAAAATCAAGAGCTTGTCAACACATCTTGTTCAAGACACGTACGGTAATTCTCTCTTTATTCAGCCAATAATATATATATAATATTAGAGCTGTGTGAACTTTTTTTCCAGATGATGAGCCTCCAGATTTAGTGTGCCCTGTTTATGTTGTCAACAGCACTGATGCTAATCAGAATTCTTCCATTGTCTTCTGGCAAGAACCTAGATTCACTGACAATGTTGGCATCGTCAGTAATGAAAGCTCCCACCGTCCAGGGGATGTTTTTCCCCTCGGTAACGTCACGGTTACCTACTCAGTCAGTGACAAAGCTGGGAATGTGGCCAACTGCTCGTTTATTGTCAGTGTTGAAGGTGAGCCGCTAGCTAGTTCGTCGCTCGAGCAAATTAATTCAATGGAAGGGTGGGCATCGGGCAGTGTAGACTTATCCGCCACAAAGTGGAGCAGGATGATGTGTTCACTATACTTCGTAGTTTCATCATGACCGGCATTGTCATGATGATCTGAAATTTCTGGTGTTGTTTAAGCTTCTGCTTCGTGCATGAATGGAATGAAATGTACATGAGAATGCAATGGAAAACGCATCATTGACCCAGTCGTTGTACATAATTATTTAAAAATGTTAGAGGGATTACTGTGCAGCGGAAGATGTTGTTACCTTGGCAAAAATTATGTCAATTGTTTTAATCCTCATTTCTCTTTATAGTGAAGTTGATAAATTTGACCATGTGAAAAATCATGTATACTTCACAGAAAAGTCGTACCAGTCTGTCTTCAGAGGCGTGTACAGAAGGGGGTGTAGATCCTTTGGATTTCCTTTTACTGCACTTTCTGAAGCATGTTCATGCTAATTCATGCAGGTGGAAGCTTTGAATCCACGGTAGCTAAATCTTGGAATTCAGATAAATTTTTCTGTTTGATATCTCCTCTGTCTTCTCAGATAACGAAGCCCCAAATGTCATGAATTGCCCAGCTGATGTGGTCAATAGTACCATGGCCAACCAGAGTTCGGCTTTTGTTTACTGGCGGGAACCGTCCTTCTCTGACAATGTGGGCGTGTTCAGCCGTGACAATTCTCACAGTCCAGGGAATGTTTTCACATTTGGTAACACTACCGTAACCTATACTGCCAGTGATGCTGCCGGGAATGTCAGGAACTGCTCTTTCATTGTAATTGTTCAAGGTAATTAAAGTTTGATTGAAATTGTGAGACAGGGCTCATAAGGGGAAATTCGGGGGCGGGAAACAAGGCCATGCCCACCCCCCTTCTAAAATCATTTGCTTTGTTTCAGTTGTTTTTCTTCCCAAAGTGTGTAAAAAGCAAAAGGCCATTAAAGGTTATCTGAAAAAAGTTCAAATTGTTTTTAGCTCCCCCCCCAAAAAAAAAAGTTCGGCCACTTGATGTTTCTGTATCTGCCCTTGAAGACTCACTGTGCTCTGATTGAATAGGTGATGGCAAATTTAAGCATCCTGACCTTTAACAGATGGGATATATTTCCTTGGCAGCATCAGCTCTCAACTTGTCTGTGGAATTGGTTTATTTTCAGACAACGAAGCCCCTACTGTGTCAAACTGTCCAGAAGACCTAGTTAGTGATACTGATCCTGCCCTGGCTTCCTCCATTGTCTACTGGCAAGAACCAACCTTCTCCGACAATGTGGCCATAGTTGGTAACGAAAGTAGCCACAACCCAGGAGATGTGTTCTCTGTGGGTAACACAACCGTAATCTACTCCGTCAGCGACAGCTCCGGAAACACTCTCAACTGCTCGTTTTTTGTCACTGTCGAAGGTATGATGGACATGTCAGCTAGTCGATGTGAACTGTTTAGGCTTATACCTGCCAATTTTGTAGGTAAAGATGGCAGCATTGCACACAGTATTTAAGCAGTTGGCAAACGTAACTGTGAATAATGATTGAAAAATGAGAAGATGACACATGAAGTGACCATTATTCCATTCCATAAAGAATTCACAGTTTATTTTGCGTAGAAATAAGCATTGTGGTGTATTTTACATTGTGTAATGTATGGTGTCCTATAACAGAAATCTTGGCTTTGCAAAGTCACCAATCTTGAGAAACCTAGCAGTCACGTAGCCTTTGATATCTGTTGATCAGACCCTCTCTTGGAATGGTATTTTCCGCTGCAAAAAATATTCACAGTGTCATTACATGTAAACATGTCCTGTGCTATAATTTTCTTTCAGACACTGAGGCCCCAATGTTCAGCACCTGTTCAAGTGTGACAATTGAGGTAGATCCCGGACAAGCCACGTCCATGCAGGAGTGGATGTTTCCTGTTGCTACAGATAACGTGGCCGTGACAAGGAACAGTTCCACCCAGCAACGAGGTGGCAGTCTATCCCTAGGGGTTCATGAAGTGACATACGTTGTTTACGATGCTGCAGGAAATAATAACACCTGTGTGTTTGAGATCATTGTTGAAGGTAATCAATGCAGTCCAATCAATGATTGAAATCTTACTTGAGTCACCTCTGATACAAATGTATATGGTAGTAGTATTTGGAATGTTTTCAACACGTTGCTTTGGATGAAGCGTAGCATGTTACAGTGTGGTTATCTTTAAGCATAGGCATGGCTAACAGGATTAGACGTCAAATGCACCTCAACTTGCCTCTAGCTGGCCTGTCGCAAATCCCTAATTTGTTTTGTACACATCAAACAGAACCCAGGACGTCAGTGGAGGAACTGTATGGACTGTGTGTTTAACGTTGATGATCTTTGCCTCTGTGCATGACCTGCCCTAGCAGCATGTCCTGAATTGTTGAAAATACAGACTGTTAAAAGATGCCAAGCTTCATTGAGAAATATCATACAAGTACTTTCAAATGAATCTGGGGCTTTGAATTTGTGGAGGTTGGCTGTATATCAAAAGTTTTCCAGTGTACCTAGCCTTCTTGTTTGAATGTCTAAAGTTTGAGCCAAAAAAAATACCTTCCACAAATTATCAAAGTTTTGCCACAACTGTTTTCCCAAGCCAAAATGAAACCCCAGTGTCCCTTTCCACGGTTGAAGGTGTCAGTAAAAAGTCTTGTTCCCCCTTTTTTCTCTTCTGCAGACAATGAGATGCCTAACATCACAAACTGCCCCATGGATGTCACTCTAAACACAACTAGAGGCAGACCAGTAGTAACCTACAGTTTCCCCACACCTGTCTGCATAGACAACGCCGGATCTGTGACTGTTACCACGTCCAAGTTGGATGATGAATACAGCATTGACGACACCACAGTGATCATAGCCTGCTTGGACGAGGCAGGGAACACTGACACTTGCACCTTTACTGTAACCGTCCAAGGTACATTTTATGAAAACAATCTCCTTTCCAGCAGGAAGTTTTGTCCATATTACAAATTAAGTAAGGAAAGCCAGAGATACCTGTAGTCAATCGAAACCATTGGGCCACTCAGAATAGTAAGATCATTTTCTGCTCTGATACGGGCCATTTTCCCCACTGACTTGATTGATAGCTCCAGGCAGCTTTGATCATGTCGAAGCTCCTTAACCCTAGCTGATTAAAAAGTGAATAAAAACTGAACAGTCTAAACTAAGGTGGGCAGGACTCAATCTGGCCAGGCCTCCTCTATTGCAAAGAAGTTAAGAGCTAACAAAGGAGGTCAAATTAAGAGGAGCAACTGTGCCAAATGTATTTAGAAAATCCTAATCAAACTGGCTTGATTTCTAGCACAGCTGGATTGAACTTTCATCACTTTGGTGTAACTTTGGCAACCAGATTGCTCAAGTAATTTTGTCCTTGTCATAAATCCCTTTGTTGGCACCACAGATGTAGAGTCTCCTCGACTGCTGATGTGCCCTACCAACGTGGAAGCCTTTGCAGATCCAGGTATGAATGTAAGTATCTCCTGGACTCCACCCACGGCCGAAGACAACTCTGGGTGGGTAACAGTCTCATCCACTCACAGACCGGGGGATGGATTCATGAATGGCACGCACACTGTGATTTACACTGCGAAGGACCCATCTGGAAACATGGTCAGCTGTAACTTCAGTATCACTGTATATGGTAAGTAACGAATGCTTTGGGCGGTCTTTTAAAAGCTACTTGTAAACGTTTTAGGTTGAAAACGTCACTTTTTAGTTTATAGCAAATCACAAAATGAGTACCAGTACCTTGAAGCAATCCCTGTTTTTGTATACATTCCGAAAATTCCTCTTTCCACTATAGTATTCATAGTTAGTGACGAGGTCTTTTTCAATACCATGAGCCACTCCTTGGGCACGTACATTTACGCAGACTTGTGGTATTAGCAGAATTCCATGTAGTAACAAAGATTAATATTTTATGGGAATGCTTACACCGATACAAATGCTCAAATGTTGCACAGCTCAGGGTTTTACTGCCCGATCAAACTGTGAGGAGACCCACCTCCGTATTTAGATAACCTCCTCAACCTTTCCTTGGTCAATATTTAAACATTAAAGAAAAACAAATAAATCTGAGAATTGTATTTGTTGTTTGTAATATGAAACTTGTAAGTGTTCTACAATTTTGTCATACTTTAATTTTTGTCAACTCAACCCCCCCCCACCGGACATGGTTTCATTTTTAGAGTTTGCAGTTTTGGAATCAGGTATCCTTGTACCCATAGTTATTGTGAAGATCATAGCAAAAGGTGGAAGTAAGTTTTTGCAACTCGTCCACGCCCACTCTTCACTACGAAGCTGCTGTGGGAATTGTCCGTATTAAACAAAGGGCATCTCTTTCCCTGAGTGTCACAATAGTGTAAAGATCGTCATCTCAAATGCAGATGATGAGGAATTGTTGGTACGCGATCTCAAAAGATGTTTTATTTCAATTTTTTCCCAATAGTTTTCCTGCAATTAATGCATAGAAAAGGGTGCAGGCCTTTCTAAACTTCTTGATCAAAATTTCACCAAAGTAGTTTTGGGTAATAAGTTGGACAAAATGGAATAAGGTACCTGTAATCAACAGTGGGGTTTCGAGTACCCAGGTACTTGGCACGGACCCATTTTGTACAATGCTCTTGTGAGTACAAGATGGAAAGTATATGGAGATAGGTGCGTGGGGCAAGTACTGTACGGGGTGGTATAGATTGCAATAAGCTAACGCAGTGTGAAGTCGGTACTCCGAAAGTGTGGACACATTGGTAGGATTGTGCACACATAATTGAAAATTGTGAACGTTCAACCAATACAAGGGACCAGGTTTCATAAGAATATAATTTTTTATGTAGTGTCAGAAAAGTGTTTAAGATCAACCAGCCAGTACTATATGAACCATGATGGGCTCTCAGCCAGTAGGACTGGCTTAACTGTCTTTGGTATTATTTTATGAATGTCTGTTAACGCCTCCTGTTACTACTTGTCTGTGTAAATTGACCTATGATAGTGTAGATTTTGTGCTGCATACTTCTCGTCTCGATGGATTGTTGCAACACTGAAGTTTAATAATTCTGTTTTCCCACAGCTAGCGACAAAGTTGCCCCAATGGTTGTCCAGTGTCCCAATGACACCACAGTGTCAGCTGACCCTGGTGTAAACTTTACTGTTGTCACGTGGCCGCCCATTGTCATCAACGACAATGTTGGCGTGACAGCTCTTGATAGGCCTATGTCATATCCAAATGGGTCGGTATTCTACATCGGTTCTGTCACTGTCAGTTACAGAGCTTCAGATCTTGCTGGTAACAAAGGAAGTTGTAACTTCACGGTGACTGTTGTAGGTAAGATTTATGGGTGCGATTATACAGGTAAATAGTGTAGGCAGGTGTTTGCATAACTTTACCAGGCTGAGGACAGTGAATATTGTAGTATTGCAAGGTCTTTCCTTCTTCCATTGTCACTGACTTTCATGCCAAAAACCGCACTCAGAGATTGATGAGAAACTGTGTTCAATCCATAAAGTTTAGGTACTGTTTTAAACAAACTCAATTATCTGCTCAGTTAGTGAAGTCAATTTCAAACCATTTTCTGTATCTACAGCATTTAGACTGCAGCATCCTTTCAATTAGAAACTACGTGAAAATACTGAGCCTCTTTTTCAGAACTAGTTGCTTGCATTTTTCTTTCTTGTCTGAACATAAAACAAACAAGCAGTAACATCTGAATAAATTTGATAATACTTAGATACTGAGGCACCTGTTCTCACCAACTGCTCTGGCGACATAGTAACATTCACTGAGCTGAATTCAAATGGAACCATCAGTGTCAGCTGGGATGATCCCGTTGTCATGGAAAATGATGTCTACTCCGTCACACAAACTCCTTCCCCTGGTCATTTTTACTCGGTGGGAAATACAACCGTCACTTACTTTGTCGAGGATAGCAGTGGTCTCAATGACACCTGCGAGTTCCTTGTCACAGTTCTAGGTAAGCAATGATGTCGGACTATTTTGAGGGTATTATGTAATTCAGTCATGGTTTCCCATGAATGATATCTTGCAACTGCTCAACTTTTTGTGTATATTGCATCCATGTGATAGAGATAACCCAGGAAATAAGTGCATCAATGAAGACCCTGCATTTACGCGCAGTTAAATAAAAGTGATGACCATTTGGCATGTACATTATGTTGGTTTTAAATCAACTCTTACCTTGCGCATCAAGCATCGCCTCATACAAAGTCAGAATCTCCCGATGATCTGAACCAATGTCATGGCTTGTTATGACCACAGAATTGTACTTTTATAATCACATTGTTGTTTTTGAAATGCAGTACCTGCATGGTCATTTATACAAAATGTGGCTTGAAAAAAGAAAGATGTTCCGACCGGCATGTTTTTTCCCAGACAACCAACCTCCAATGTTCAGCAATTGTCCCTCTGATATGGAGAGTCCCACCGATGCTGGTGCTGCCAATGCTACCGTTGTCTGGACTGAACCAGATGCTAACGACAATGTTGCTGTCATAAGTGTCACTAACAGTTCTGCTCCTGGGACAGTTGTGGGTCTTGGTGATACCCTTCAGGTTGTGTACATTGCGTACGACGCTGCTGGGCTTAATGACACTTGTCTGTTTGAGATCACTGTTGTAGGTGGGTACATTGATGAGAAACATCACGTTGAGTATAAGATGCAGTTTTCAGTCTTAGCGTGGCAGCCATCTGTGATGGGCCTGTCGTTACTTCACAGGGATATATAGGCATGAGTTAATTGGCCTTTATTTAGTGCATTCACTGATAATTCAGTGAATGATGAAAACACCAAAAAGATGTCCACAGTATACAAAAGCAGTATAGATAATTCATCTAATTAATCAGTTCACTTCATACCAGCCAAACGAAAAGCCCAGATAAATCGTGAACCTGTCCTAAAACAACAATCCTTCCCTGGCAATGAATTTTCCTTAAATGTTAAAAGTTACTTTGAAATACAAAAGGTAGTAAAAATACGTCTCTCATTCAGGTTGAATATTTGTGAATCTTCCCAATTTATGATGTGAAAGTGTCAGTCATCTGTTTGTACCACTTTGCTTTTCTTAATTACTGATAGATGAAGAAGACCCAGACATTAAAAGCTGTCCTGCTGATGTCATCGTCAATGCAACGGCTGGTACATCCAGTGCTAAAGTTTTCTGGGACGAACCCACAGCCACAGACAACTCTGGCACCGTGACGTTAACCGCAGCTATCAGACCAGGCAATGTATTCGACATAGGAAAAATGACCACCACCTACATTGCTTTAGATGAGGCTGGTAACACGGACCAGTGTACATTCCAGATCATTGTCCAAGGTGTGCAGTTCAGTGTAACATTGTTAATTTATTCTCCACTGATATGCTTGATTACTACGCAAAGAGGTCAGTTGCCCGCAGTTGCATTCGGCCACTTATTACCAAAAAAATTTACATTTTAGGCTTTCAAAAGAGCCTACGATCTGGTGGCAGGCAGCACCATGTAACTCTCTGTCTGTAAATTAATTTGCCTCAGCAGAGAGAGGCAGACAGTATTAGTATTGCCCAATGATATGCAGTCATAGGGAAGGCAAGCACACACACAGTTGGTCAGTAGGGTTTGATCGTGTTCAGCTTTCCCGACTCCATTCAGTTGTCAGATCAAGCTCATATAAACACAAACACAATTGCACATTATTGGCAAGTAATGATGTCTGTCTGGATTGCCTTCACGAAATACTTTTAGGTAGCATTTTGTTTCAGTTTGGGAAAATGATGTCCTCATCACCTCAATTCTGCGACTGTCTTTGTCTTCAGGTCATGTGCACTACTGACAATTATTATAAACAAAAGGAAACCAGCCTTTATGTATTCCTGTACGTTGGCTGGCAATGTTAGGTACATTTACGGTAACAAATATGTTCGGTTTTCTTGTAGATGTGGAAGATCCTATGCTAACGATGTGCCCAACAGACATTAACATCTACACACCCCCGGGCACAAACATATCTATCACGTGGACACAACCAAGAGTTGTAGACAATTCTGGTGATGTAACTCTCTCCTCAAACTTCAACCCTGGGGATAAGTTTGCAAATGGCACGTACCTTGTGATCTACACAGCTGTGGATCCGTCTGGCAATTCTGATAACTGTTCTTTTATCATCCAAGTGAATTGTAAGTGAACAGTTTTTTAAAATAAATATTGGGTTTAATGTGGAAACTTTATTTCTAGGTATACAGACTGAAGAATACCACTTTGTTGCCCTAACAAAGGTTCACTTTTTACGAATTTGGTCTCGAGATTCACACCCCACCTCAATTTTAGTGTACTTCCATTGTCTGCTTAAAGACACACCAAATGGTTGAATTCACATTAAACAAGAGGTCCTTATTCAGTTCCTACAGTGCTCAGCAAGCAGGGAAAAGCCTTCTACAATGGCGCTGTTTATACGATCACTGATTCATATTGACCAATAAATCTGTTCAGCCAGTCCATTCTAATAAATTCTCCTGTTGGCTCTGTCTTCAAACTGTCCCATCTGTGCAGAAGAATGTGTCCAGAAAGCTTGTTCAGACAGGTTCATGCCTCTCGGCTATCAGAAAGAGTACTCAAGACTGCAAGTCATCCTGCATTGCTGTTATCTTATGTGGATGGAAGTATTTGTGTGGCCCAAACAGTTCAGTTTGTTTTATGTGTCTTTAGTTCAGTTGAATATGCAGAGACCAAGTTCTACAGGTCATACATCTATTTAATCATTTTTTTCTCTGTCTGTGAATATTTCAGCTACGGATACCAACCCACCAATGATCTCCTGCCCTTCAGATGTAATGGTTCCCGCCGATAATGGCACCAATTCCACCACTGTAACATGGCCCCCACCACCATACATGGACAATCACAGAGTGGTATCAGTGAACGTATCTAAGGCAAATGGCAGTTTGTTCTACCTTGGAACCAAAGTGGTGGTTTACACAGTCTATGATGTTGCTGGAAACAATGATTCCTGTAGCTTCAATGTCACGGTTCTAGGTAAATATTAAGTTGATTTAGACTTTATTGAATACATCCTGCATATCTTTAGCAAATATACATCACGACGTGAGCATCAGGGTGTTTGTCTCCTTAAATCCTAAACTTGAGGTTATTTTACACATATGTTACTGAAAGAAAAGGTTCACCTTCTTTGCTTACAAGAAACGTCTTCCCTCCTCAAGCATTGATGTGGAACTGACAAAAGGAGGAGAACTTTTATTCATTTCTGTTCTCTCCCCACAGACATGCAAATTCCTATTATTATGAATTGCCCTGGTGATGTCAACGAGACGACAGCTCCAGGCCAGCCCACTGTCAATATCTCTTGGACTGAGCCAACAGTGTCTGACAATTCTGGGTCTTTCAACATTGACCAGTCTCACTCTCCCCCCTCGATATTTCCCGTTGGACCAACCAAAGTAGTCTACCTTGTTAACGACAGTTCATCGAATTTAGCCATGTGTGCCTTCAATGTAACAGTCACTGGTAGGCATCCATTCAATAGCAGTATATTTCTTCCCTAAAAGCAAATTTTTAATAGAATGTTTTAGACATTTTCGAGGTAAGAGGCATTTCATTATTTCATTTTTGTTGAAATAAAGAAAATGCTGTGCTGAAGTTGATATTGTGAAAACTTCCCCAAAGTTTGGTCGAGTGTCGATTGTTCGACAACCCGGGGGGTTGTTTTTGTAGTTGCATCATTTACCTATCTGTACTAGGGACATGGGGTGTACAGTCCTGAAGGAAAGGGCTTTAAACTGATTCAGAAGACCGTTGGAATTGAAAGTGAAAATGAGCATGGTTAACATTGGGATGGCTTGCAGATGCCTGGGGCTTGGGCTTTACAGCTCAAAGTGCCGAAATGCTTAGTGTGATTTACATGTACTTCTCATAAAGTGCACAATTAACTGCAGTGGGTAGTTCCTTTGCTGATGATTGTAAATCACTGTTGAATAGACCTACTCACAATAGTTTATTTGATTTCTTTGCAGATGACGAGAGCCCAGTGTTTAATTGTCCTTTGAATGTCACCAATTCCACTTTGCCCGGCCGGTACGTGGGCACCTTCTTCATTACTCTTGTGGCTACTGATAACGTCAAAGTGACGTACAGCAACTCCACCCACCAGCCTGGTGATGAACTTGATGTGGGTAACACCACTATTGAGTTCTATGCTCGAGATGCAGCTGGCAATGAAGCTGTCTGCCAATTCACTGTCACCATCAAAGGTATTGTAACGAAATGATTCTTTGGCATTCCATAGTTCTGTTTGACTTGGCGCGCCATACATCTTGTGGTGCATACTATTTTTAGAAACTCGTATATAAAGCACGCGCGTCGCGTTGCAGAGCTAGAGCTTGTAGAGACGCCGACCCGAGACGAGCTGGGTGGAGAGCATGCTGTTGTGGGAGACTACGCTTCAGTACCGACGGCCAGTTGGAATAATCTCCATAGCCATTTAAAACACGAGCTAAACACACGCTTCAGTACCGACGGCCAGTTGGGGCAGGCTGAGGCCACAGACGTGTGTCTGGCTCGTGTTTTAAATGGCTATGGAGATTATTCCGTAGTAACTTTTGTTAAGTTTTGTTATTTCCGCAAGTATGGAACAGTTCAGATCCTTCGTTACTCTCTATTGTGATCGAGATTCGTATGTCTTATCAACAATTGCGATTTGAAGACAATTAGTGTCAGAATGTCAACGTGGGCTGGTTGTTGTTCTTTTGGGACTTATCAAAGACTCCAAGCACAAGGATATATGTAAGATTCCCCAACTTTAATTTCCTGAAGTTGTTTTTGGAAAAAATGTCATTACAGAGTAGGTTTTGTTGACACTGTGTCGTCTAAGGAATTCCCTTCCCGTAAGTTATTCCCTTCCCTTAACCCTAACTGTCCCAAATCCTCCAATCTCAATACAATTTTACATACACCCTAGGGGGTTAGGGTTAAAGAATCCAATCCCCTTGAACTCCTTTCCAACTCATTACCCCTTAAATCCCGAGGACTGACAACTGCCTCACTGGTCTGGAGAGTGGAGCTCTCAGGAGGATCGATATCTGCCTTCAGGAGAGCCAAGGGGGTCGTCTTAGGAATTCCCTTCCTTTAAGGAATTCCCTTTCCTTAAAACCTCCTTGCCTTGGGTAATCCACTTTGTTTTAGGAACTCCTTTCCCTTTGCTGTTCACCCCTAATATATCATTAATTAAGGTCAATCGAGTCTAATTAAAAAGAAATAACAGAAATTTTCTCAGGAGAGGAGTTGGTGTGCCCTCGCCTGTTATTTATTTAGTACTTGTCATTCCATTTCCGTCCTGTACGTTGTCCGTTTGGGAACAGTGTTACGTGCGGCGACAGAGTCTCCAAACGAATTATCGCCCCAGGACAATCTGAACTGCCACTCGTCCGGACGTGTTCTTATAGACTGTCACGGTCTTCGACACGGAGCTCGGGTGTCGCCACGGTGTCGAAGTCAGTTGCTCGGTGCCTTAATAATTCAGGTTTTAAAACAGTAGCGAGGTTTGTTAGGACATTCAGTGAATGAGAAATTGCTTATCAGCGGCAGTCATTCTGATATAATTCATGCAATGATGCAATCAAGATCAAACAAAAGAAGACGTGTATGAAATCACATTATATATGTGTATGATTTTAGGAAAACAATGACATAGTTGTAGATGAGTCCATAAGAAGTCAAATCACTAGATGAAAGAGATTAGGAATAATAAAGTAGTATTACCTTCATCATGGTTTGCTTGAATAACTTGTGACTTGACTTGAGACCGGGAGGGTGGGAGATGTATGTATGAGGTGTGCGAGAACTTGAGATGAACTCAATACAGGATTTGGGCTTTCCAAAGTCTGGGGATGAGAAAGAATTTTCAAAGAGAAGTGTTGAACAAGGAAGTGACAAATTTGAACCGTTAGCTTGGCTCTGAACACTGCACACCTTGCATTGATCCATGATGGTTCGCAGCTGAAATCGTAAACGGATTCTCCTGTTGGCCTAAAATGTTTGAGGTGGCTGCTCCAGTGTACCCTCAAGACTTTCCACTTTTTCGATTGGACTTTACAGTAACATTTGATAGATTTTGTAGCTTTCATTGTGTTCATAGAATACAGGTAATAGCCATTTCAATTTCTTACAGAAGTGAAGTCTTCTTTTTTTCTTTGCAGACGACGAGAACCCCCAGATCATCAACTGTTCATCAGATATTTATACCAATACCAGTCAGGGTTCCAATATGGCATTTGTGGAGTGGACTAAACCAGTGGCAGTGGATAATTCTGGCATGGTGACACTGACCAATGACAGTAATGATAGCAGCATGTACCCAATCGGTTCCACTGTCATCAAGTACAATGCTTCGGACTCATCAGGCAATTTGGAGACTTGCCAGTTCACTGTTTTTGTCAGTGGTATGTGATATTTGATATTATGTGTTTTTGTTCTGCCATTACTTTACCACAAACTAATTTTGGTATAGATTTTCATGATGAAAAGTTAGTAGGTTACACTGGAAAATAAGAGTGCATTGCTTCATTTTCAGACTTTGAAGATCCACAAGTCACCTGTCCACCAAACATTGAGGCCTTTGCAGACAACGGCACAAATGTTCGCCTCAACTGGACAATGCCAACGGCCACTGATAACTCAGGCATGGTTACTCTGAACTTCACCCATCAGCTTAACTCGGAGTTTCCTCTGGGTACCACTTATATCACTGCCACAGCGTCTGACCTGTCTGGAAATTCAGCAAGCTGCACATTCACTGCCACTATCTATCGTAAGTTTGTTTTATTCAGTGGTTAACTTGGTGCTCTGGTTCAGAAATGTGCTGAAGGAGAATTTTATTTGGGTTTACATCTGTGAGTGTTTAGAGTGAATTCATGGCAAATCTTTCTAGAATTACATCGGAATAGAATAAAATCATGTCTCGCTCATCTTAAAGAGATTTTAGATTGAAAAGATAAAAAATTAAGATTCAGAAAAAAAAGTTGCATTCCTTCCCTTCCAAAGATTTCAATGTACGATTGTAGCAGGTGTTGGTTATGTTTCTTCTACATGCAGCAACCGACGTTGAGATGCCGATGATCATATGTCCTCCAGATGTCTCTGGGCTGACTGACCAATGGATGAATTCAACCAACCTGACGTGGATAGTCCCCCAGTATCGAGATAATCAGGAGATTGTTGTGTTTAATGTCAGTCATCAAAATGGCAGTCGTTTCACCATTGGTACCACCGTGGTTACCTACTTCATTGCTGATCGTGCAGGAAACAATGCCTCTTGCTCTTTCAATGTGACAGTCGTAGGTGAGCCAACAAAACGACAAACCTGTCTAAATCATAATCGTCCTCAAGCATCCAACAGTTGAAATATATATTCTACCCGGACGCTCCAGCAAAACATATTTCCGAAATGTTTTGTGCTTGAATGGATATTAAGTTCCTCGCGAAGACTTACAAATCATGGCCTTAAGACTGCCACTGTTGTAATAAAATTACCACCAGTCTTTTGCAAGGAACCGAGTCTTTACATACAAAGGCATTACTTTTCATCTCATTATTTTGAGGCTTGGTACATTCGATTCACTTCCAACATCACATGCAAAGGCACAAGGCTATTTAAACATGAAGAAAACGTGTTGAGAAAATGTTTTGATCCAAATGCATGTCTGTGTCCAGGAATCACATTGTGCATCTTCAAATATGCAACTTAACCACAAAATCGTTCTCATTAATTGCATTCAGATGCAGAAAAGCCAGTGTTCTTGGATTGTCCCTCTGATGTCTTTATCATGAATAACGAGTCCCGAGTTGTCAACTTCACCCAGCCAGAAGTCACAGACAATTCTGGGGGACCGGTGAATGTCACCAGCAACTACCCGTCTGGAACCCAGTTCCCTTTCAGTGACACAATTGTTATATTCACCGCTGAGGACAAGAGTGGAAACAGGGCCACCTGCAATTTCACAGTATCTGTTGATGGTTAGCAATGACATTGTACACTGCAAATCCATTGAATCATTAAACTCAAATTCGAACTTGGGACTGTATTATGTCAACCCTCGTAGTTTGTATTTCTCCAATTTTAAAGTCATTTTTTCACCCACTCCAGGTAATAGCAGTGAAGCACGGAATAAGTTATGTGTTGGTCTATATAGGACCCATTTGTATTTTCCACATTATATAGACCTAGTTTGTGACAGCCTACCAATAAAGTATCAATATTATCACAACAATTTTCTTTGTGTTACCGAACAGATTCCGAGGCTCCTGTGCTGCTGAACTGTTCCTCCAACATTGACCTGTACCTATATAATGACAGTGCTAATGCAACAGCCAACTGGACTGAACCAATGTTCTCTGACAATTCTGGCGTCTTCATGGTGGATCAGGAGTTTTTTCCTGGAGACCAGTTTCCAGTTGGCGTCAATGAAATTGTGATCAGTGCTACTGATGAGGCAGGCAACATGGTGGCCTGTGTTTTTAATGTCACCGTTATTGGTGAGTTAGGCTGGTTTGATATACAAGATGCACGAACCATCTGTCAATTTGAGTTGAAGGTCACTGTGTTGGCTTGTTTTTCATAGTACAGTAATAAATGCAAAATGTCTGAAGGACTACTTGCAGTTTCTTGAAAATCTGACCTACTGAGAAATTGAGCAACCAATATGGAAAGAAGTAGTTAAGATTTGATAATATTTTTGCATTTTCAAAATGTTGGCAACCACAGAAACTTGTGTCGTGCTTACACGTGTCCCTCCTTTTAGATTTGTCGCCTCCTGTTATAGTCAGTTGCCCAGGCAATATGAGCACCAACACCGATCCCAATAAGCCAACAGCCAATGTGTCATGGCCACTAGCCCAGGTACTTGACAACGTTGAGGTGGCCTCTGTCATTGTGACCCAGGAACCAGGCACTGCCTTTCCTATTGGAACCACCCTGGTGACTTATACTGCTACAGACTCCTCGGGGAACACCGATCAGAACGATTGCAGATTCTACATCCACGTATCAGGTAATCATCATCAATATCTCAGAATATCTCTGCTTGCAGCAAGGCGACCTTTTACTCCAGAGGGTTATTAATGAAATTTTCCCCCCGGAATCTTCTGAACCCCTGACATTTGATATATTCCTTTTACAAATCTATCCACTTTGCATTCTTTCAAAACTTTGATTCTGGTCATGTCAGATAATTTCATTTGTAATTTTCCAGATATATCAGAAGGCAAGTTGTAGTTATCATTATTGGTAAGGGAGTAACCTCGTGTTAATCGTTGTGCAACTCCTGTTGACCACCATATTTCTTTGCTTTGCAACCTTTACCTCATGTAATCAGTCTATGGACTTAGTGCAACTGTTGCAGTATTTTGCTTGGTGATGAAAGAGGTTGATTTAACCTGAGAAACCAGAAAAAATTTTGTCTCGTAACCTTTATGCATATCAGAGTCATATGATAAGTAGTAACATTTGTTTAATATTAGTAAGCTTGTTTGGAGCCATGTTGTCTTTTTAAGTAACATCGCCAAATTGTAATCCCCATCTGCTATGTCTTCACAGATAATGAGGCTCCGATGTTTGTAAATTGTCCCAGTCACATGATGTTTTCTACGGACGTCGGTGTTGGTGAAGCCACTGTCAGCTGGACAGTTCCAATGGCCACTGACAATGTAAATGTGACCTTCTTTGAAGCATCTCACCGGCCTGGGGACAATTTCTCGCTGGGACCGACAGAAGTGACCTACAGGATTGCTGACAGCGCCGGCAATAATAACACATGCTCTTTTATCATTACAATTAACGGTGAGGAGCGCAGGCTCTAAATTGCCAGGAGAATAAATCACTCAAGCAGTACTCCAGAAAACTCTACTTGACCCATTCATAATTTTTTTGTTGTAACTTGAAAAGTTAACTTGGTTTGACATTAATGCTTTATACAGTAGATTTTCCTCACTGAAGGGGTGTTTGCAGACGAGCCAAACTGTTGTGAAATATCACCTCCTCTACAGTTGATCTTTATTCATTTAACTTTTTCGTGCTTTTTGAGTAGAAAGGTA